TGGGAGTCCAGCTCCTTTAACCACCATGCCACCTGCTGGCCCCCCTCTAGTGAATTTAAAAATAATAATAATAATAATAAAAAGCTTTCTGATTGTATGGCTGGCCTCCAAGATGACATCACAGAAAGACAAGAAGCCTATCAGGTCAATCTGGAAGTTTAATTTAGATCTTACTGATCCAGTGGAAGATGGACTTTTTTTTTTTTTTTTTTTGAGAGGTTTTTGCTATAGGGCACGTGCACTCGCCAGACAGAGAGAGACAGAGAGACAGAAATCACCCCCTGGGGGGATGGCCATGCCACAATCCCTTCTCCTTCATTCTCCTCTCGGGATCTTGGGCATGCACGCACATGCGCCTAGCGTGAGTTTTAAGCCACCGGGTCCGGGATGCAAACTGCAGTTTACTACATGGGAGTCCAGCGACACAGCCATTACGCTAACTGCTGGTCCTAAGGAAGATGGACTTTTTGACTCTTGAAATTTTTAACAGTTTCTGTGGGAAAAGATTAAAGTCGATGGGAAAACTGGCAATCTCAGAAATGTTGTTCACATTAAAGGCTTCAAGAATAAAATCAGGGACCAGCAGTTGGCATAATGGCTATGTTGCTGGACTCCCATATAGTCAACCATGGTTTGAGTCCTGGACCCGGTGGCTTAAACTCACACTGGGTGCATGTGTGTGTGTGCCCAAGATCCCAAGAAGAGAATAGAGGAGAAGGGATTGTGGCATGACCATCTCCCCTGGGGGGTGATTTCTCACTTTTTCTCTGTCTCTTTCTTTCTGGTGAGCACATGCGCCCAATAGCAAAAATCTCTCCAAAAAAATGATAAAATCGCAACTATTTCTAAGAAACAGTTCTCTAAAAGGTATTTGAAATACCTCACCAAGAAATACCTTAAGAAGAACAACCTTCATGATTGGCTTCATGTAGTTGCATCTAACAATGAGACTTATGAAGTTTATTACTTCCAGATTAGTCAAGATGAAGATGGATCAGAGTCTGAGGACTAGGTGAAGCCTCCCCTTCTAGGGCTTTGGTTACTAAATAAATCAAATGAAGCATTAAAAATTTTATTAAAAAAATAAGGGCCGGGACTAGCAGGTAGCATGGTGGTTAAGGTGCTGGACACTCCCACATGGCCAACCATGGTTTGAATCCCGGACCTGGTGGCTTGCTTTCTCAGTTTCCTTCTCTCTCTCTTTCTCTCTGGTCAAATTAAAATAAATGAATGAATAAATTAAAAAAAATAATAATTCTAAAAACAAAAAAAAAAAAACAAAAAACGGGGGCCAGCAGGAGTAGTAGTGGTTTTGGTGCTAGAATTCCAAGTAGTCAACCATGGTTCGAGTCCTGGACCTGATGGCTTGAAACTCACTCTGGGTGCGTGTGCATGTACGCTTGAAATCCTGAGAAAAGAATGGAGGAGAAGGGATTGCGGCATGGCCTTCCCCTCTGGGGAGTGATTTCTCACCATCTCCTTGTCTCTCCAGTGAGTGCACGCACCCTATCACAAAAATCTCTCAATAAAATAAAAAAAAAAATAAATAATTCAGAGGCCAGCAGGTGGTATGGTGGTTAAGATGCTGGACTCCATATGGTCGACTGCAGTTTTGAGTCCAGGACCCAGTGTCTTGAAAAATCACACTGGGTATGTGTATGTGTGTGTACATGCCCAAGATCTTAGAAGGAGATGGAGGAGAAGGGATTGAGATTTGGCCATTCCCCCAGGGGGTAATTTCTCACTTTTTCTCTCACTGTCTCTCTCTCTGGTGAGTTCACATGCCCTGTGGCAAAAGCCTAAAAATTAATAATAATTCAGGATCAGCCAGTAGTATGGTGGTTAAGGCAGCTGGATCCCATATGCCCGACAGTGGTTTGAATCTCAGGCCTAGTGGCCTGAAAAAACATGCTGGACACATGTGCATGTATGCCCAAAATCCTGAGAGCAGAATGGAGGAGAAAGGATTACAGTATGGCTATTTCTCCTGAGAGTTGCTTTCTTTCTCTCTATCTCTCTCTGGTGAGCACACATACCCTTTGGCAAAATTATATACATAAAAATTTATACTCCAGGGGACCAGAAGATGGTATAATGGTTATATCAATAGGTTCCCAAGTAGTTGACTGCAGTTCGGGTCCTGGACCCAGTGGCTTAAAACTTATGCCAGGCACGTGTGCGTACATGCCCAAGATCCCAAGCAGAGAATGGAGGAGAAGGGATTGTGGTGTGGCCATCCTCCCTGGGAGGGTGATTTCTCACTTTCTGACTTTTGTCTTTCTGGTGAGCACGCAAGCCCTATAGCAAAAATCTCTCACTCAAAAAAAAAGTTCATACTTTGTGAAACCATGACAAACTAAGCATTCCATGGAGATACCAACTTCTTAACTTACAATAAAATCTTTAACTCAAAATAATTGTGAAAGATGCAAGGTAGGTACAGACTGAATATATGAAGGGACAATGGCTGAACCATACATAAATATAAAACTGTGACCCACAACCTCCAGCAGTCTGCCCAATGCTTTGTACATTGTTTATGTCCAATAAACAAACTAGAAAGTCAGCTTTGCAGTAAGTCAGATCACAAGACATCAAATTTCACTCTAGTGATAGCCCACTATCCAATAACTTCTGTCACATTTGACTCAAAATGACCAAGAGGGGCTTAATAACTGACATCTTCCAGGTCCAGTAGGTGGTGTGATGGCTAAGGGTCTTGGATTCTCACATGGCCATCCATGGTTCAAGTCTCAGATCTGGTGGCTTCCTTTCTCACTTTCCCCTCTCTCTTTCTCTCTCTGGTCAAATTGGAAGATAATAATAAAAGTAAATAAAGTTTTTTTTTTTAAATAAAAACCTGACAGCTTCCTTATTTTTGTGTCCACTTCTTGGACCAATCAAAGAAAGCCAGAAAATCAATTACAGGGTACTGTGCTTCTAGTTTGTTCAGCTGACTTTCCCAAGCCAATAACCTCCAATCAAGGCATATCTGAAGTCGTCTTCTTTTTCTGCTTTAAAGTTTCCCCCTTGTAATATTGTGAAATACATATTTTTTTTTTTGAGAGAGATTTTCGCTATAGGGTGCGTGCGCTTGCCAGACAGACAGACACAGACAGAAAGCGAGAAAACACCCCCCGCAGGGGGGATGTTCACGCCGCAATCCCTTCTCCTCCATTCTCCTCTCGGGATCTTGGGCACGCACGCACACGCGCCTGGCGTGAGTTTTAAGCCACCGGGTCCGGGATGCGAACCGCGGTCGATTACGTGGAAGTCCAGCAACATAGCCATTACGCTTAACTGCTGGTTCCCAAAATACATATTTAATTGTCCAGTTTTCTGGCACAGACCTTCTAAAGCCTTTGGACTCTTCAAAATTATAAATATCTTATTATATACTAATGAGTTGACTGATGGCTGGCCACCCCTAGGTAGCTTCAGGTTGAGGGCTGGCACAAGAATAACCAAAACAGGATTAGAGGCATGGCATTTTCCACTCTCACCCTTCAGGGAGGGAAGAGGAGTGACATTGACCATCAATAGCCAATAACTTGCTCATGAAGACTCCATAAAACCCAGAAGAACAGGGCTCGAGAGATTCCTATTAGCTGAACCGGTAGAGGCCCCTACAGGGTGCAGAGCCCAAACAGGGCACGCAAGCTCTGCAGCCTTGTCATATGCCTTGCCCTATTCATTTCCTTGTCCGTATTCATTGTGATATCTTTAATAACAAAAGGGTAAATATATTAATAAATAAGGTCTTTCCCCAAGTTCTGTGAACTACTCTAACAAATCAATTGAACCAGAGAAGGTAGTCATGGAACCCCATCTTATAGCTGGTCGGTCAGATGTACAGATAAAACCACCTGAGGTTTGTAAATGACATCTGAAGTAGGGAGGGACAGTCTTGGGGTGGAGCTAAATTAGGGGACAGCTAGCTGGTGTGTGCTACAGAACTGTGCTTGGTCTGAGGGAAAAGAACACCACACTTTTGGTCACAGAAGTGTTATGTGTTGTCTATTGAATGAGAACATAGGAGAAAGCAAGTTTCTCCCTCCCACCCTCCACATCATTCCTCTACTTGACTTTGAGTCTCTGCCAAAAACCAAGAGATGGTGGCTGATGAGCTTGCTACAGCAGACTCAGAATAAACAGGTTTTGCTTTTCTCATTTGACTGACTTTCATTTATTTCCATGGTGGACATTTAATACATTTGCTAGTAGATAAATAGTAGGGAGGCTGGCCCCGTAGCCTAGTGTTAAGGGAACTGGATTTCACATGGCAATTTGGTTCAGATCCCAGCCTTGGTGACTTGAAAGACATTCCGGGCATGTGTGTTTCAAATCCTGACAGGTTGGAGGAATGGAGAAGAAGGAACTACAGTGTGAGGGGGTGCTTTCTCCCTTCTCTCATCTATCTCTGTTGAGTGCATGTACCTTCTGGCAATTCAAAATAAGTAAGTAAACGGACAGGGATGTCAACAGGAGTAAAGTGCGAAACAGACAGTGTAGGTTATAGTCAGTTTATCAAATACCAGAAGTTCAAGTTATTCTTTTTGTTATCGCTGTTAAGGTTTTTGCCATAGGGCATGTGTGCTCACTAGAGAGTCAGAGAAAGACAGTGACAGTGAAAGTGGGAAATCATCCCCTAGGGAGGATGGCCACACCACAATCCCTTTTCCTCTATTCTCCTCCTGGGATTTTGGGCACACACACACATGCTCCCGATGTGATTTTCAAGCCGCTACGGAGTTGGCCATGTGGGAGTCCAGTGCCTTAACAACCATGCTACCTGCTGGCTCCAGTTATTCTTATGTCCCAGAAGGAAAAAGTAGGCTAAAAAGATAGTTTATACACTTTCTTTCACTTTTATTTTTGTTTTCAAGCCCCCTGTGGCTTGCAAAAACACCAGGTGCATATGGTGTGTGCCCAAAATCCTGACAGGAAGGAGGAATGAGAAGGTTTCTCTCTCTCTATGCACACACCTCTGGGGGGAAAAGTTTTTGTGTGGAGAGTTTTTTTTTTTCTTCACTTTACATTGTTTATGATTTTTTTTTTTTTTTGAGAAGTGTTTGCTATAGGGTGCGTGTGCATGTACTCGCCAGAGAGACAGAAAGGGAGAAATCACCCCTTTGGGGGGACGGCCACGTCACAATCCCGTCTCCTCTATTCTCCTCTCGGGATCTTGGGCATGCACGTACATGCATCCGGCATGAGTTTAAGCCACTGGGTCCAGGACTTGAACCGTGGTGGACTACATGGGAGTCCAGTGACATAGCCATTATGCCAACTGCTGGTCCCCATTGTTTATGATTTGTATCCACATTAGTAAGTATAGTGCTGGATTTTTTTTGGGGGGGGGGAAATATAGGGTGCATGCACTCACCAGAGACAGAGAGACAGGAACTGAGAAATCACCACCTGGAGGGGTGGCTGTGCCACAACCACTTCTCCATTCTCCTCTCAGGATTTTGGGCATGCACACATATGTGCCAGGCATGAGTTTTAAGCTGCCAGGTCTGGGACTCAAACTGTGGTCAACTATGTGGGAGTCCACTGATGTAACCATTATACCATCTTCTAGTCTCCAGTGCCATATTATTTGTTTTTTGTTTTGTTTTGGCTCAAAAAAACTAAGAGTATGTGAGCTCGCTGGAAAGAAACATAGAAAAAAAGGGAAAGTGAGAAATAATTCAGGGCGAGGGGTGACCATGCCACTATCTATTCTCCATTCTCTTCTCAAGATCTTGGGCATGCACACACATGTACCCAATGTGATTTTCAAGCTGTCAGGTCCAGAACTAGAACCATGAAGTTGACCATGGAGTTAACCATATGGGATCCAGTCGCCTTAACCTCCATAATACCTGCTGGCTCCATTGATCTGTTTCTAGTGTTCTATTGCTTTTTCTTTTTTCTTTCTTTCTTTTTTTTTTTTTTTTGTTTGTTTTGCCACAAGGCATATGTGCTTTCTGGAGAGAGATAAAGACAGGAGAGGGAAAGTGAGACAGC